ATGTATCTATAAATACTTTATAAAATAGACTAGATATAATAAACTATTATAAAAACTTATAAAAGCTTTATAAAAGAACTCTATAGTAACTTAATTCTACACTTAATACCTATCTAAACTAAACTTATACTCTAATAAAGACAACCTAATGCTAGAACTACTAATGTAAAGAATTCTCTTTTTAATAAAAGAGGGGGGTACTGTTACAGTATCCTCCCTAGATCCTAGACATAACTATATTAGATGTGTACTAGAGTATTATTAGTGCACATCTAACATAAACATAACATAACATAGACATAAACTTAAGTATAAACTGCCTTAACACTAACTAAACTTAAAATAGGCTTAATTTATACTTAAAGTGCTTAGACTTTTAAGCTAAGTATTTAATTACTAATTTTTTTTAAACTTTTCTGTTCCTTACACAACGTCTTGTACCTACTATAATACCTCACGTAGTAATTAAACTAGACCTCCGTGAAGCTCTATAACCTTACTCGTGCACAATCGTGACAGTATCAATGCTGACTCAAACAACACATCGGGAAATCCTGCTTTTGTAAAGGCACTGATAATGGCACTTGATCAGACCCTCAGCAACGGAACCTACAGCTCCCCATAAAGGCTCGCTTGACCCACTCAATACAGCTAATTGTAGGCCAGCTGCTGCCCAGTGACCCGAGCGTTCCCGACTTGGTACCTAGTCCGTCTTCCTATTCGGGACTAGCGTGAAACAGAGCCAGAGCATGGAAACCTCTGCCTTATCCTGGCTCTGTAATCGTCTGGGCTTCTGGTTAATTATGTAAAGGTGCTAGGTAGAGGACTTTTGTTACTCGTCGTAGATAGTGGTAACAGAAAGTTTGAAAAGCCCGTGCAGAGAGCAACCTTATTAACCATTCACATAGCTTGACCATGGTGAAAAGCGGGGACAAAGATCATGTGATTTTAAAGCTTCTTGGGCGCTTGAAGAGGGGCGTGTGATAAATTAGTGTTGGGCAAGGTCACATGCCTTACCGCTTAGTAATTATTCCCGCCGCTTGTGGCTGGCTGCCCCAATAATTTGCCTTGCAATTGGAAATTCTGTCCTTTTAAGCGAGGCAGCCTTCCCGTGACCTAGGAACACCAAAATATGTGCAAACAGCGTACGTATGTATTAAATTAGTACTACGTAGGCTTTCTATATAATAGATACTCTAGAAGCGTATGTATAAATTTTTAGACTATAAAGTATTATTATTACTACTATAGAGGCCTGTAAAGTGGACAAGATCTCTTGATTTTGATGTTCTTGCTTAGTAAGCGCTAATTTAGCTTCTCAGCCAAGGAAAAAAGGACAGAATTTCCAATGCTGCCCTTTGTACGTTTTTACACTTTGGTCAACCTTCTTTCGTTGATGCAACGTTCGCCTCGAGATCTGGTCCTAAAAAACCTGCAAGCGCCTCCTATGTCGACATCAAGTCCTAAAAGCGCTGCCGCTTGTCACACAGTCCAAGAACAGGAAGATTCGTTGGTCACAGTAGCCAGTGTGCCATCATCTGCGACGAGTTCCCACAGGTAAAGTGCCCTTAAACTTACTTTAAAGCAAGTCTTGTGTTAAGTAGTTAAAGCATACCTAAAGGAGCGGATCCTAGAGAATTGCCTATTGCGAAAAATGGATTACAGATTTTACGTGAGATCTTTCGTCTGGGCCATCACCCTTATTACTCGCCTCAACTTTCAGACGTGGTACTTGTTGCAATCGACTTTGAGAACATCAACACCATTAAGAGCGGATTTGCGCAGAAGGGAGATTGCCAAATTGGACTTGCGATTCTGGATACAAAGGAAATCAACCGGATGCCTCCAGATAAGCTTATATCCACCCACAATTTTGCTACAGGATCTCCTTCATACTTGAGCAAGGCGTCAAAAAAATTCATGTTTGGAGAGTCAATCGCAATCAGCCCACCAAACATAGTCAACTATATTCAATCTTCTATCCCCTCAGCTCGAAATGTAGTTTTTGTAGGCCATGGTATTATCAACGACCTTCAGGCTTTACAGGCTCTCGATTTCGAGTATCCAGTGCTTCTCTCGAGCGTTTTAGATACCTTTTACATCGCTAATGAGGTGTTTCAGTATTGGGCTGGGTCTCTTAGCGATTTACTCCTTTCTTTAGGATGTTCCTTTAACAGGCTTCATTGTGCAGGCAATGACGCTAATTTTACACTAAGAGCTCTACTTCTTCTAGCTGCTTGCGGGTTTTCTAAGCAGCAAGGAGAGCAAGAAGAGGATCGCGACACGCTTGCTCACCTGAGGGAAATTTCAGCCTCTCCAATACCACATTGGGTTGATCCAGAGGTCCAAGCTCTGCAAAAAAGGGAAAGGAGGGGTGCAAAAAGTCGGAAGCACCAATCAAAGACGTGGAGCAAGGAAAAACAAGAAGAAATCCGTGCAGCTCGACAGCTTAAGAATGAGCGGAACATTACGGAAGCTGGATAATCAAGCAACTAGCCCTCCGTCTTGTCGCAAGAGGCGGTGCCACCTGCCTGATTGCTCCAAGGCTTAGACGATTGGAACGCCATGGATGATAGCACATCGATATTTCCGTGCATAGAATTGAAATGACAGGCCAGGCCTTCCACCAAGCAATTCTGATTTCGCCGCACATATCACGGAGTACCTGTACACCGCCTGCACTGGGGAAACCTCATATCGATGTCAAATATCCCTTTCGTCGCATCGGTGTTAAATATGACTTCAATGTTATTTTCTATTATGGATACCGCAATGTTGTCGAAGTTGAACATCGTTTCACCTTCAAAGTCGCACTTCTGTGCCGTGAGTCATTCCTCTGCTTCGATTTCGCATACTCACTTTCAAAGCAGCAACTCAGGCGGCCCTCAGGAGCAACTTTTCCAGTCCTCCGAGTCCAGCCATGCACCCCTGGCAGTCGTTTCTCTGCTCCAGATGATCACCAGCTAAAATAGACGTAACTGGATTTGAAAGGCAAGGGAGAGATATACTAAATGTACAAATACTTTGGCTGAGTACAAGGTAGGGTAGTGTAAGAATAAGTGAATTGAAAAATGTTATCTTGTGCTCTAGATTCAATGTCTTGAAGATAATACTTTGTGAGATCCTGGATACCTATATAGTACATTTCGAAAGGCCTACTTACCCTCGCACGTAGCCGCAATTGTTTTTCCATTGCCTCTATGGGAACACTACGAGGCCCTGTGGGGAACGAGTTCCTTCCCATCATTTGGTCCCATGCGCGTCAAGGGATGAGGGATATAGCAGCCCTGGAGCTATGCCGCCCGTACGCCTTCTCCGTTCGTCTGGTTGGCGCTGGTCGCCGTGCCGCATGGGCTGTGAATCTGCGCGAAATACTAGCCCGTAGGGACTTTGGTCCTTTGCACTCGTACTGTCCCAAGCTTTCTGAAAATCAAAGTTGATTTGTTACACTCTGGAAAGTCAAAATCGAGACTTACTACCGCAGCGCTGTGCCTTACTGCAACATCGAGCCTTTATACTCGAATAGTTGCAATGACTCCGTTCCAACCTCTTTGAGCATCCATTCCCTTACATCCGAAAACTACCCGCTCAACATTTGTTTTCATAATGAAGGAGTCGACGCGTCTAAAGTCTCCTTCGGCCAGCATGGCCACTAGATCACGACGTGATCGTCCCATGCACATTACAAAAAAACCAAGAAAATTAGCATCCGTCTCTACAACCGTTCTAACTCTCCTGCATGATCTAACACTTAGGAAGTGCAGTTTGGATTTGATGTGACCTGTACTAAGACCAGAACGTCAGTTGGATAGAAAAATTGCCAAAAAAAGAAACGTCAGATGCGGGATTCGAACCCGCGCGGGAAGAACCCATGCGACTCACCCTAGCCTCTCTGCCACTGGTGTAAGGGGTTACCATGGCCTTACACCCGCGCACACCCCAGGCAAACGAGGACCTGCAGTACCCTCTCCCTCCTAGGAGGTGCCGGACCTGATAACAGGTGTCGCATAGCAAGAGAGCCGTTAGGCGGTTGTGCACGCTTTAAACCACTCAGCCAATCTGACTTGTGATGATTTTATACTACATTTCAAAGTTTTAAAATTATATAATCTCTAGTAGTGTGGTCTTATTATGGAATGCACCTGGGTCCCTAGCAACATAAACAAAACGGGTAGGAACGAGTGGCTCTTGCAAATATCGCAGTAGCTCCACCTTACTCGCCAGCGCCAAAGGATGCAACAGACAATGTCTTGTAGTATCCATCAGATTGTATTTGGTCTATGTCGTTGTACAAAACAGCACTGAGGGTATCTCAGAATTTTATTCCAAAGCCAGGTGATTGATTATATCCGCACTAGATAGCCTGCGTCTTGTGTCTAGCATCCTGAAAGTAGAGAACAAATGGCACACTTCTGCAATTTTGTAGTCTAATAAAGCCTACAAATACAATGCCATCGTTTCTGTGTTTAAGACACGCATTCTACCATGTTTTCAAGCCAAGAATTCTATAATGTCAGGCTTCTTCAATAATATAGCCTCCTTGGCGGTAGAGGAGCCAACCAATAATTTTTTAGAGGATGTTGTAAAGGCTTGTAAAGAAGAAGATATTGAACTATAAAAAATGTTTGATTCACACGCAAGTCTGTAAGAGAGTGCTAAAAGCCAGTAGATTTGCAACCATTTCACCACACCCCAGCAGAGATGTTGAAACATTTAATTCTCTGGCTGACTCATGACTATATCTCATACGCCTCGCCCACTTGCCAGCAAAAACAGCTGCACCAGCGGCCTAGCAAGCTATAAAATTCCCTCTGCAAGCGTATACGGCGCAGGCTATAACTTTAGTCTTCTATCGTCTAAACCTACAGTTAAGCTATTGCATTTCGTTTCCGCCTCGGCCGTTAGGTTGCCAGGCCTTATTAACTATGGGCGTTAGGTATAACTGTAGCTAGTTCTAGGTTCCCTTGCTGCTAGTGATGGGGAGGCTAATTAGGTCAATATTACTGCGAATGAAGAATCTTGTGCTTCTGCGTGTTCACATCACTTCTAAGCTTTTCTTTTAGATCCTGTTCTATCGTAACATCTCTTCACCAAGGAGAAGATCAGCGAATAATTCTTAGTACAAGGCTATTCCTGCAACCCAAAATCAAGTCCTCGTAAGGCAGAGAACATGACTCAAAGGTTTCACTGTGCCGAACTTTGTACGCCTTATAATAACGTTGTCATGCAATACTAGCGACCAAAGTCAGACCATAATAGCAAAATGTCCAACAATATTGCCCACTCAAAGGGCAGCTGCATGACAGTAAATTCCAATAACATCCCCAGTGTATTGCCGAAACCACGTATGGTAATTGAATTCGTTGTCTGATATTGTAGGCTTTCAAGTTAGCTCTTCAAAAAGCTCCGTAACATTAATGTCATTAAGTTACCATAGTCAAGTGTGACCCAGTCGAGGTAACCATCAATCAGTTGAGAGGAAGAGCAAGCAGCTGGCAACGACATAGAGATCTCGGATGGCTTCTGTCCTTGATGAGCTTTTAGGTAGATGGTGATCGATAGAGGAGGTAGCTGTAGTCAGAACTGACGGACAACAGGTGTCGGCTTAGGGAGGGGTGCAACCAACTCAGCGTCGTTGCCAGAGAGTCGCTGCAAACACTTGTCGTTAGCGGAAGGTACGTGTGTTTGTATAAACGCAGTGCTCTCTTCTCCCTGCTTCTCTCAATGTCGTTGAGAGCCACTCAAGGTCAGAGTGTAGAAGAAAACTCTTCCAGTAAGATGTTGTGCAAGTGTTCGCGGTTGACGTTAATAGGTCTCACTTCGCCCGCTAGCGGTCGATAGTGTGTCGGCTAACGCAGAGCAGCTCCTGTTGAGGGTTAAGTTAAGAGTAAGTAACTTTACAAGGTAATTGTCATTGGTGTAGATGCAATGTTTGTTAGGCAGTTAGAAAGTCAGAGACAGTAGTGCCAGTTAACGCGAAGGAAGTAACTCTAGAGCACAGAACGTATCAGGTCTCACGGGAGAACCATACTCCAAGTAGAGATAGGCTTCCCGAAGAACTCATCCAAGGAGAGATAAGCTCCCCGAAGAAAATCTCTAAGGAGAGGAAAGCTCCAAGGAGAGATATGCTCCCAGGAGAGACACGCTCCCAGGAGAGACACGCTCCCAGGAGAAGGCCGCTCCTAGGAGAGGAGAGCTCCAAGGAAAAAGCTCCTAGGAGAGAAGGGCTCCCAAGAGAAGCTTAGGCCAGTATTATCTCTAGAACTTGTCAGTCGGTTGTGTTAATATAGTAATGGAATTGGATCAAAAGAGCAAGGAGTTGGGGGGCCAGAATCACAACTGGAATCAGGACAAGGGCCAAAAGGGAGTCGAGTATGAGCAGCCTAAGGCACCATAATTTTAATATGACCAAGCCCAAGCAAACACGATTCAGGCCGAGCAGGAATGAGCCGATGTTGAGCCAAGTAAGATCTTGCTGATGTAATAGGCTAAAATTAACTAACCTAGTCGGATGTATACCAAGAGTAGAATCCAATTGAAAATAGCACATCATAACAATTCGCAGTAATCTCAACAGGGTAAGCGTTACAAATAATCACATCGGCATGTGAAGCAGAGCGGCTGCCCCAGATGTAGCTAAGAGCGGTAAATGAAGGGCTGTCTTCGAGATCTACCATCCGTAATAACCCTTGAAACATTCGTCGTCCGTCAGGGCCTGAAGCGAGAAGTGGACCTTCAAGTTTAAGCATGCGAACAGTCTGCGGGCGATCCGCGCGCAGCTCAAGCCCCGGGAAGTCGTACAATAGAGTTGTAACAGTATCGGCGGCATTTTGATCAGAACAGGATGTTTTCCAGTTAAGATTTGGGAACGATCAGGCTATCTATTAGATAGTACAGGCTCTACCTTGGCGCAAAGCCACTGAAATTCCGCAGCTCTCATATTCCGGCCAGGAGAGGCCCGATTTCAGGACCTTTCAGGCGTCAATCAGAATTGTTCAAGCCAGCTCAGTCTTACTCAGCCACTGCTTTACGAAGGGGCCTGATTTCGGGACCTCGCATGATCAGGTTCAGGGATTGAAGTGTAAAAGAAGGATTTTTAGATGGAAAGGTGACTGAGTAAGGATGTAATATTATGTTTGTATTAAAAAGCTATGTACATTGTGCCGCCACTTTCGGCGACATAAGCCGCGCTTTTCGTAGTGCATTGTCGTCGGTGGTGAGTCTGTATAGTGCAAGTGATGAATGCATTGCGGATTTGTCTTGATATATTAATTTAATGTGTTATTGGATGTTCTACAGTTGTTTTTTCTGGTTACTAAGTAGAAGAAATGTCATGCATTCTAACCTAAGCCGCCAGGCGACTGAACAGCTCAAACTCCATTCTTTCAGCAGGCTTTGGACCATTGAGAATGTCACCAACAATATCAGAGCCAGGCGGGAAATCATGCTCGAACAGGGGCTCTCCAGCACCTCTCATGTTTGCCAGGACCGCCTGCCTGAAGTGCCATCGCAGAAGCTGATCAACTGGCCGCTGGGGGTCGTTCAAGAACTCGATATCAAGATGCTTCCCAGCAAGGTTTCTCGCATCGAACGTAAAGAATACAATCTTGTGATTGTCCTTTAAAAGATATTAGCCATTAGATCTTTACTGAAATAGTAGATACTTATACATCCGGATTGATTGAGAAGCAGTAGCTATCGAAGAGCTGGTGTATGGCAGAATCAAGTAAGAAGCCATTCTGTACTGAATTGATGCTCCCTCCACTGGCCGGTGGAATTGTAATCCAGCGATCGTATTCGTTATTCCTCCAATGATCTTCGTACGCCAACGGAAAGATGTGAGCCGCTTCGAAGCCTGTCCAACGGTCGACATGTGCACCAGGTACTCTGATGCCAGAGACGACGCATCGACGATCTCGTTCCCGGACATTATGGCAAAAGGATTGCACGCGAGTTCCAGTCGCTTGAGATATCGTACGAACCAACCACGGCTCGTCATTAATCGCGAAAGTGCCTATCGAAAAACTCAAAGTTAGTCCAAGATGATGAGACGACTACATGTAGGAACTTGCCGACAGTGTGAATATAGTATTTACCAGGCTGAAGCGGCTCATCATTTCTTTGAATTTTCGCCTCGTTTTCATCGTGCAATTCAAAGGTACACGTGAACAACACAAGGATCTCCGCCATTGAATAAAGGTTGGCATTCGTGACACCATTTGTGAGAATTAGACCAAAAAGTACTGTAGCAGGGTCTTTAATGCTGTAGATGTGAACATCTCGCCCTCGTGAGCGATCTCCTGGGGCCATTGTGCTTGTTTGGGGCGATTTCGTAAGGTTAGGTGAAGGTGGTGCGATTGGAGACGCCAACAACGGTGACGAGGACGACATGATGCTTTCTTGGAATGGATCAGCACTATCGGGACGACAAAATGCAGGTGCAGGCTGCAATAAGGAAGGCGGTTGAGGATGTAAAGTTGGAAAGTGGAGGACTTCAAATTGTTTGTCGGCTAGCTCGACCGCGGCTCAACCTCGGCTCAACCTCGTGTGCTCAGGCCTGATTTCGACCCCTCATGGGAAGATTCGATCTGAGAACTAATGTTACTGAGAATGTGGGTAAATAATACGAATTTTGTATAGAAAAGCTATATACATTCTGCCGCCATTTTCGGCGGCATATGCCACCCTTTTCGTAGGGCTTTGTCGTCGGTGGTGAGTCTGTATAGTGCAACATGTGTCAATCCAAAAGTATTTTAGGCCATCCTGTCTTGCTTGTTCTTCACAGAACTGGATCTTCTTGTATCCAAGCTTTTTTTTCCCCAGTGCCATTTGTTATGTCCTCGAAGGTAACCTCCTCCTTATCCGGCCCCCATGTGTGCGAAAGTATGGCATAGGGAGGGATCGAATCGTGGCCAACCAAGTCCTTTGTGAGTCCAAACTCGCCAGTGTTGCTACGTAGCAAAAGACGCATTGCTACGAGGGGAGTTTTATGGGCGTATGTGGTAGATGGTAGGTCTTTAAGGTTCAACGCGGCTGTCTAGCTGAGATGAATACGACATGGTCGTCTGAGAATGTCAGTCCTTGCTCTTAAAGTTAGCGCGCATGCAAGGAATTAGGGATATTGAGTTTACTGAAGAATCGCATTAAAAGTAGGATAGTACCAGTGCTATGAGTTGATTCTGCTGTGCGTTAGGCATATAAGGAAGGCTGAACAAGCTCAGCTAACGGCTCGCGATGGCACAGCCACAGTGGGGGGCGGGTAAGGGTGACATGTGAGGTTAGCCGAAGGCGATTTTGCAATGCACCAAACTGATGAGACGAACACCTTGGTGACGCTAGCAGGGAGGACGGCCGACCCGCACTGACACAGACCTTTGTGAGGGTGGCGAGTTCTGTAGGCGTTTTAGGAGTTGAGTTGGTTAACTGGAGGCATGGCCAAGGTTGAGCGGGGATCGTAAGGCTGCGGGGCTGAGGTCGGCCCGGCCGCCACGCCGCTAAGGCTCTGCACTGCCACAGGCCCAGCAGGCATCACAAATAAATTACACTACGACGATTACGGATGGATGTCTTTATTACGCCCGGCTCTAGCCTAGAGGGCACTAGTAGTTTATTACATAAGCAATTCCTT